GGATGAATCGATTGAGGTGGTAGACAACAGAGCATTGGTGTCGGTCCTGGTACCCTGGCGAAAGCCTATATTTCCATCCAGATCGGGAAGGCCAGAGCAGCTTTTATGAGCCTGCAGCACCCGTATCGATCAAGGATCTAGTTTATATGGGTGTTGTTCGCTCCATGTGGTTATGTCAGAAACCTGGCCGCTATGAGCAGATGAAATTTGACCGCCCGGTAGTTTGTGAAGATAAAACGTTCTCAGACTTCTGGCCGTGTGAGAGTATACGGAGAGCTCTCCAAGAGATTCCGTATACAAAGCGGTATCCGCCAGAGATGTCCGCTCTCTATGTTCTTATTTGATTCCGTGATCGATGAAATAATAAGACGAACACCGGAGGATCTCTGACGAAAACCTTGTCGGTCTGGAATATGCAGATGATGTTGTTCTCGTCTCCGAAGAGAAGAAGCAACAAGTGTTTTTTGGATTAACTGGCCGAACACCGTCCTTTGGTATGTACCTTGTACTCACAATGTGTAAGGTAGTGCTCGTGTACATGCAGTCACTGACCACGCCATTTACAATCCAGGGAGAATTACTGGAAGTTTTGTAGCCGTTCACGTATCTTGGATGTTATACGGGTTCTCTTCATATTGTGACAGATGGGGTTAATGCACGAATCTGCAAAGCTCAGGTCGTGTTTGCTTATTTGAGACACCTATGGCTTAGAGCGATATATCCGTGAATCTCAAGGGACGTGTGTATCAGGCTACAGTACAGGCTGTTTTGTATGGCTGTAAGACTTCGCCTGTTCGAGCCGCGGGACTGAGGCGCCTTAGGTGTTCGATAACTGTTGTTTCAGAACCATAACTCGTGTGGGTTTTGTAAGCGAAGCAGATACCGGGCAAGTTTTCGGTTTTGCAGCGGGTACTTTCATTGAAGAATGTGTCCAACACCAGAAACTGTGTTGGTTAAGCCACGTTTTGCGCATGCCGTACCATCGTTTGCTGAAGAGTGCTTTCTCCCGTGCCCAATTCAAAGTGGCGAAGGAGAGGTCGCCAATCCTGGACGTGGCAGAGCCGTGTGAAAAAATTATGAAAATATGGGTGCTATCGGTGCTAGTTACCTTCCAGGACGGGGACCGCGAGACCCCCACTGCACCTGGTCGGAGATACCGCAAGATGTGGCTTTTGTCTACGTCAATGGCGTTTTCGTATCAGCTATATTCAGATTGCCTAAATGGGTGTCTGGAGGTGCATGCACCTCAGTATGGTTGTAATAAGCCAGCACGAAGTCCCCTCCTTTTCCACATTGATTCTTCTCTTCGCAATATTGCTTTCAAGTAAATCGCGGTTGTACGGAAACAAAGTATCAGTGTCGAACACTGATGTCATGATGTCGGCGATGATGATGACGTCTGACCGTCGGTGTCTTTAAGGCATTGCCTGAGTCTGATAGAAGTGTAGGATCAGTAATACTAAAGTAGGTCGAGGGGTTTTTGGAAGGAACAACTCACCCACGATAGATGATCTCACCACACTGTATGGGTCGCGCTGGTTTGGTCACGTGTTCCCTATTTCATTCAACTCATTCTCTGTGAAAGCCCTTTTCGAATGTCACCGCGAAGGGTGTGAAGGAGCCAGTGGAGACGAGGCCAAGCAATGGCTTGGCAGCGAAGAGTGAAAGCCATTGCCGGTAAGCTCAACTGCACTGGTCATTACCGTCTCTCTGGATAGGGTCTCCTAAACGGGACACATCAATGGTTAGATACATTGATAGACATGGCCCAGTCATACTCTCAGTGGCACTAATACATCCAGGGGGGCGAGATGGCTCAAGTGGTTAGGGCGCGAATTTACTGACCGGAAGGTCCGTGGTTCGAACCCCACCTCTGCCTCTCGACTTCCCCTGTCTAGGCTTGGGCAACCTGACTATCCCAGCCTTCATGCTTCCTTCGGGTGGCAGCTAGGCACCGAAAGGGCGCTTCAGATGAACGATTATTATTATTATTATTATTATTATTATTATTATTATTATTATTATTATTATTATTATTATTATTATTATTATTATTATTATTATTATTATTATTATTATTATTATTATTATTATTATTATTATTATTATTATTATTATTATTATTATTATTATTATTATTATTATTATTATTATTATTATTATTATTATTATTATTATTATTAATGTACCAATGCATCTAAGCTGTGGCCCACAGCACGTAGCTTCTCATGACATCCCGATGGAAACCCACTAACGCTCCTAAATTCACGCATCAGTTATATAAGATTCCACATCGAGTGCGTAGCTATCCACCCTTTTCTCTCCAGATCGTCGGCGGACGAAACTTTGGCACTTCTAACCGATGTTCAACGAGCATGCGTCATTTACAGCTGAAGAAGATACTGGTGGGAACATCAGGTTAGCAATGCAGAGGTGTTCCTGGTGGTTTTAAGCGGAAGGAGCTTTCCGGCGTAGGATGGGCCATCCACACTCCATAGGTTATGCTGGTTTGGACGTGTACTTTGCTTGTCCAAACACCGAGCCCGAGATTGCTCATTCCATCAATTTAATCAATTTATCAGCTATAAACCGTGTACCATAGGTACAATGGTTCCACCTGGTACAGTTTCGATCGCCGAAAAGTGAGAGCTCGTGAGATTTGGCTGCGCCCTGGGGGCGATGATATGTTCAATTATTTCTGGAACAGGGTAGCCACTCATTGAAGGCGATAGCCTTGGTGCACGAGAGCCATTGAATGCACAGTTACGCTAATCATTGCTGAGCTGAGTCCCCGGTTCCTCATTCTGGAAGGTTGCAGCTATCGTTAACCCGACCCGGTCAACTCGTTAGTATCTTTATACCCCGTTTGCAAGTCCATTTCTTGGCCGCTTTAACTCAGCCCAGTGCTGGATGAAAAGAGCTGTGCGAGCCATACGGTCTTCTGAGATACCGAATACATGTAACCAGAGTAACCGACGAAGCATGAGTAATTTATCTATCACGGGAGAGTTCGTTCTTCCTAAAACTACCTGGCGTATCTCGGTGTTACTAAACTGATGTTCCCATTAGGGCCAACACCTCAGACACCGATGGTAAAGTTCGGGCAACTCTTATGTCTTTGATTGTAGAGGCCACTTTTCTAGTCCATAAAGCAGTGCGGGTCTCACTCCGTCCTTGACAGACAAACGAGTCACGTCAGCGCCGTAATTATCCAAGGTTGGCAAAAGCTGTTCATGTCTTCCCTATTCGAGAGTCAATCGCATTTCCAGCCAGTCAGCCAGAACTTATACAACTGCCCGAGTAAGTATATTCACCTGCCACATTGGTTGGTTCATCTGCAATCGCCAGGTTTGGGCTTGATCCCCTCAGTTCTTCGTCAGCACTTTACGTTTTGCTGGTGTCGAGTACATACCAAACCATGCGGTGGAGTCATTTAGGTTATATAAAATGCTTTACGTCTTTGCAGGATCTGGACCAAGAAGAGCAATATCATCCACATAATGTCTGAGAGCGAACGTCCTAGGAGCATTTCCACCCCCGGAGTTTCAGAGGCTGGCAGAGAAAGTGTGAGCAATACGTCAATAGCAAATTTGAAAGTGAGGGCAGCCTCTTCTTGCACTGCTGGACATGGTGAACTCAGGCGAGTGCTTGCCGTATACTTGTACCCTTCTCCGGAAGCTTGCATACAGTGCCCTCATAAGGGATCGCGAGATACCGCCAACGTTTCTGACAATCGACAGAGTCAAAACAGTCAAATAAAACGACCAACATGGGACTTTTGAGAGTGCCGCTTCTCAGTTGGTAAACCCATCGACCAAAAGTGCATCGTTCGGACTCAACATCGGCATCTTGTTCGCTACCGTCTAGACTTGATCAACCTGACAATATCTCTACACTCGTGTTTCATGCAGCATTTCCGACCTCTGCATCTCAACTTCTTTCTAGGCTTCGACATCCTGGCAGTATCTCAGCCGTCGTGTTTCCTTCGGGTGGTATGACAGCTAGGCACCGAAAGGGTGTTACAGCTGAATGATTATCTTCATTTTCATCGTGCTTTGTTCGTATGGCGTGGCAGCCGTGCATAGAACGGGTGTCACAGCTGAAGGATAGCTTTTTATTTCACGTCAGAAGACCGTGTATCTCACAGAGCTGTTTTTGACAGCCTTTTGTTGGGTCACGACGGAGACTCGGAGTATCATGGCCTGGCAACAAAGTATGATAGCACTAACCAGTGGGATTAGTGCAGTCTACAACTGCAGCCTACGGATGGTGAACTTTGGGCTGAACTCGTCACACTGAGAAGTGGTATACAGGGGAACTTCTACATTGGAACTATCGCCCTCAATGTTCTTCATTAGACAATTAACACGACTGAATACCATATGACTGACTCTGCTATTGGTTCCAATGACTGGCTATATCTCCTCCGCTCTCCCATTTTTCGTACGGGGCGAGGTGGCTCAGTGGTTAGAGCCGTAATGTCCGTGTCTTGAATCCAACCTCTGCATCTCGACTTCTCCTGTCCAGAAGTGGGCAACTTGGTAGTATCCTAGTCCTCGTGCTTCCTTCGGATGGCATGTCAGCTAGGCCCCTACAGGTTGTTACAGCTGAACGATTATTTTCCCCCCGATTTTTCTCATATTGAAACGGTAACAGGTGAAAGTGTTATAGCGTTATAGCTGGCAACGTGAACTGGACAAATTTCCTGGGGAGGGTCTTATGGAGACCGTGCTTGGTGTCGGAGTGGATCTGGGAACACTTTGTTCCGAACATCCCAATTTAAGCTCCAACTAGTTGGAAATTAGCTATAGTCCGATTTGGTTATAGTTAAGTGCCGCTTGTGTTGACTACTGCAACTAACTCTATTTAGTTTTTTATTTAATCCGAAGTCAACTGTAGTAGAATTAACTTGGCCCAACATGATGCCTACTTAGTTTTGGTAGACAATTATAAGCCGAACGTTCTTTTCCATTCGGTAAAAATCCTTTCCCTGATTTCAGCTAAAAAGCAACATGCATATCTTGCTAGTGGCTTGTGGCACGTACGATGGTGCTGTTTTCGCGCTGGCTTATATACATGATGCTCTGGAGCCGAATGGACCAAAAATTCTCGAACCCGTTCTCCTTGATGCAAGTGCCCATGTTGGGCCTGTGACAGCAATTTCTGTCGAGGATCCGTTTATTGTTTCGGGTAGTGCGGACGAAGCTATTCAGGTAAATTTAGTCTCATCCCGTAAGCCAATTGGTTAGTTTTTATTTCAGTTAACTAGTGGGTTTCTGGCCGTTGCCCTATTCGGCAGTCTCATCCTGTTTACATACTGATGCGATAGGCCAGAACCAGATTCCTCCTTCACTCATCCTTTTCTTTTTTTTGCCTTGAGGCTTTGAGTTTAATTAAATACACTTTGTGGTTCTACGGCAGTGAAGTATCAGTGTTGACACTGATGCTTTTCGAAGAGTTCGAGTCATATCGTATCAATGAAGCACACTTCAGTATCTTGGATATTGGCCTAACTAAGACTTAAGGTGGCGGCACATTCGGTTGGAGAATATCGTAACCGATAGTTTCAAAGTGGTCTTATTTGAGTCACCTACTGCATTATCTCATCTACAGTGAGGGTCCATTTTCACAAACGTTAGATTTGGTGTTCGAGTACTAAACACAATTAACTTAAATTCGAGGAACATGGCTAGTTGACGAATCTTAAGGGGGGGGGCGAAGCCAGTTGTGGACTGTCGAAGTCGTCTAGTTGCTTGTCTATAAGGCACGAACCAAGAAAACGTTCATCAAGGTCCTACACTTTTGTTCACCTATAGTCGGGAAAGCACATACAGAATATCCGGGCATCTGCGACAATGGCCCAGTCCATTAAGTGAGGCTTAATCGTTTCAGTTGCTTCATGAAGCAGGAAATTAGGAAGATATGTGTTGAAGGCCATGGTTTGATTCAGGAGTGCCACTCGCTGCATAACATTCGGTCTTGGTGTTATTGACCATCTCCATTTCCATCCACGGAGTTGGAAGCTGGACATAGGACAAAAGAGTACCTGTGAGGCAGACGGCCTATTTTCGAAGGAAATTAGGAAGATATGTGTTGAAGGCCATGGTTTGATTCAGGAGTGCCACTCGCTGCATAACATTCGGTCTTGGTGTTATTGACCATCTCCATTTCCATCCACGGAGTTGGAAGCTGGACATAGGACAAAAGAGTACCTGTGAGGCAGACGGCCTACGGATTTTCGAAGGAGATACAACCGCCAGCACAGTGTTTGGAGTCTGATTAGCTCGTGCACCGAGGGAGAGTCCCTCCTTCCTAATCTGCCTCACCTCGGAATCGCTAATCCCCCGTTCTCACCAGACGCTGACGATGCTGTTTGATGGTTTTAAACGCGTCTGTGTGTACGTCACTCTCTGTTGCATAATTCAGTACGGATGATCTTTCTACGGTTTGTACTTCACCCTTGATATACATCACGCTGGCACTATAGGTCTCGGAGACTGACATTTGTTGCCCTGACCTTTCGTAAGCGGGAAGTGACCTCTCCTTCCGTCAGTCTGTCAGCACTTAGTCAACTGCTTAACCTCGCTAATCAGCTGGTCTTCACGCTTGATCCCGCTCAAACTTACAGCAGCACCTTGCATTTGATAGGTGTTACACACATTCCAAGCCTTGTGGCAGAACCATTTAAGTTTAAAATTACTTGCATCTCTAGAGGATCTTAATCAATGATCGCAGTTCGGCTACGTACTCAGCTTCTTTTGGCGGAAGTCCCTAGAGAAGTTGTACACTCATGACAGACGGTTTCAAGCAGCATATGGTTAACGAAATCGAGGAGAAAGGGTTTGACGGCACTCTTGTGCTACTTGACTGAACGTATTAGCCTCATGTGCGCTCACAAGAACTGCCGTGTAGCGCCTTTATAAGGACCTTAAAAGTGTTGCAGTCCTGTGTTCACTTCATTCTTGTTTGAACAATCATTATTATTCTGTCCATACCGAGAAGAAGGATCATCTTCACTCATATTGGAATTCATTGGCAGTATGTATTCTGGGCCGTACCGGGCTGTGAACTCCGGACGCCTGATATGTGAGACGGTCATGTTATCATCTTCCATCAGCGCATGCTGGAAATACTGAATTATGTCAGCTCGGCAGAAAACTGTGAACACGGTTAAGCGATACGCCTCGAACGACAACCATGTAGCCATTTTCGGTTGCATCGGTCGATTGACCGCCTGGTGGAAAGCATTGTACGGAATGGCTTGTTGCACTGGAAAAGCGATATATCTCGCTGGATTTCCATAGCTGAAGGAGGCCGGTGCCAGCGTTCCACTCGGGTTTGTTGGGTTCTCCCAAAGCTTATCTCAGGAGACTACCGGCTGAATGGTTCTTGTAGGTGTTCAGCCAGTGACCCCAAATGATGGGTCTGCTGGCTGATTATTGTTACTTGTTCACGAGTCAGTTTCCTGACAAACCTTCTTGTGGTCAGTTCAGTCAGCTGATAAGAGACAGCTTCTGTGCGAAAGCCATCCCCATCCTTCAAACCTGCTCACTCCATCAGAGCTTTACCAGCCTTTGAATTTCTGATTAGCCGACTTTTGGTCGTAGTTGCTACGTGGTCGCATATTTTTTCGGGTATCAATAGGAGCTGTTTATTTCGGAGGTATTATCAGCTCACTTGATCTAGTCAACTGTCTCGAACGCTGGGAGCGTGACTTCTCTGATTTTTCCCCTAATCTTATGAGTGATCTTCATTATCAGAGTTTCACAGTGACTTTCTAGTGAAATAAGCTCGGTATTTTGGGCTACTGTAACTCAAAGTAGTCCTCTGGTTAAGCGCGGAATTACAGAGCGGAAGGTCCGTGTTTCGAACCCAACCCTGGGCATTTCGACTACTCCTGCCTAGGTTATGGAACTTTGCAGTACATCTGCCCTCGTGCTCACTCCGTGTGACGTTGCAGCTAAGCACCAAAAGGCTGTTACAGCTGAAAGACTTCTAATGCTTACGGTAACGCACTAGTGGAGACGAACTGAATGACTGCGTCAGCCTGTGTGGTTTTTGGAAAGGCGAATCGGTAAGCGGGTCCGCACGAACGCATCATCAAGTTCAGGTGATGTTCCCCAAACGAAATCACATTCCTTAAATGAATCTTTCAACCGAGACTGATCGCCCATGCTACGACTGATTCGATGGCCAATTTGTGGCCTAGTAATACGTGTGCTTGTGATGGAATAGATTATGTTTCAGCACACAACCGGATAAGTCGCTCCCCAGTACTTGCAAGCTAACACCAACTTCTGGTCCATACACGCTTCTTCCGGACTTAACCTATCCACTTGGGTGTTCATATGCCGTGCTAAGACAACATTGTCTGCCATTTTTGCTAAAGCAGTCGTGACAACTGTGCAAAATTCGTCATTCTGAGCTTCAAAACTGCAATTGGGCGCTGACGGGACAAAGGAACACCGTTTACCATAAGCAAATATCCATATAACATCCATATAATGGAATCCCTTCCTTAAGAATTCTCTCAACTGGGGTTTAGGACGCAACTACAACACCACAGATTCCACGAGACATTACCGACATCAGCGTCAATCCGAAGAATGAAGTAGGGACCAAGCTCATTCTAATTGGTTTGAGTTGATTGCTTCTCCTGTTTGCCGGTTTCGGAAACGTAACACATCAACAGAAGAGTAAGTAAAGTCTCAGCAAAAGGTGCCTCTTACTGAATTCGGCGGCAGGCGGAGAGCGAACACTGAAAGTCAGTTCCAATAGTGTGGGTTTATTAAATGACCGTTTTTATTGGCTTTGCTTTGTGGTCGTTTTGATAGTGAACAATGGTCAGGTTTTTGACGAATGGATTAACTGGATCAGGGTGAGGGAGATGTATGGGCGAAGGTTAGCAAGCCATTTCCAAGATCAGCTTTGCTTGAGCTATCTCGCTTTGGCCTTTGACCGTGGTGGCAAACTGGAGGTAATGGGATAGCCTACAGTCTGACCGTAGTCCAGAACTCAGAAGTCTGGCGAACAACTTTACTGACTCACTTTCCTGCGGAACATGTCATAGACCTCTCACTGCCTGTGCTACGACGCACAGCAGCTGCGTTTGCGGTCACAGTGGGATTTCGGTAGATTTCAGTTTTAGTTTGACCGTATTGGGCAATTCGCTGCGGGTCAATGTTTTCTAGTCCGTCCTTCGTCAGAGGAATACTGCGTCGCTGCTTCCACCAATATTGTCGTCTCGGCCGCATGGGGAAAACACTTCGGTGTCTTCACACCACTATTGCGGTGATGTATATTATGACTCTACTCCTAGGTTGCCTGGTTTTATGGTTACTCTTCAAACAGGAGTTAACTCCTGTGTCTGACGGCCTTCCTCTGGCTTTCGTGATATGATTAAACCTGAAACGACTTTCCAGGCAGTCCCGTCCACTAGATCGTCTCAGCAAAGAATCCCGACCCCCCTATCAGGATGGCAGTTTTTTATTCAGATGGAGGAAGGCAGCCAAGTAATTTTTATCAACTTACTACGGAAAAGTACTTTGATATCTCACCTTTGCACCACAGATCTTCGTAAAGGGTTTCGCGACCGAAAGACTAGCCGGAGTCTCGTTTGAGTCTCCTGTTAACAACATTTTAGTTTTGCGAATCACCGTTAACTCTTGACGAAGCTTTTCATCGGATAAGCCGTCACCCTAGTAGTCATTCAACTTGTGGCTTCGCGATGTCAATTGAATGATTGATGGATAAGCGGCACTAGATTACGCGAGTTACTCGAGGCTGATAGGCAACCTATGGCCGGACGGTACAGTCGTCAGCCACTAGCTGAAAGGTCGCTGAGTGAGACTTTTGAGACAGCTGATAATTTTTAAGAAAAACAAAACAGCTGTGCGGTGCCCCTTAATGTTGGTGAAATCCTTTGTAAAATACTGAGATTTCATGTTCGTTCATTCGTTCCCAGCCTGCTGGTAAATCTCTGCCTGTGTGAACGAATAGAGACAAACAGAACTAATCCTGAACAGTTTCGTAGGTAAAGGCACCATAGTACCGCCAGTCTTATTTATTCAGCCTCACTATAACTGACTTCCGTTGGTATTTGGGATCTTTTTTTAATCGCATTTCATCGTGCATTGATATTTTATGATTCTTATTTATTCAGCCTCACTATAACTGACTTCCGTTGGTATTTGGGATCTTTTTTTAATCGCATTTCATCGTGCATTGATCATTTTATGATTGAAATATTTTGCGCGGGAAAATTGGTCCCACTGTTGCGCACACTAACGGCGATTTGAATAATCGTATGGGTAGTTCAGATTTAGGTTTCTACAATCCCATGTCCACCGGCTGTGCTACCTTTGAGTCTCTAGATGGTGTTTCTTATTACCCTCCCTCTCGCAGCACCCTCACTATGGCGTAGCGCACTTTCAGATTTTTTGTCATTTCGCCTAGGGTTTTGCTTGACTTGTTGAAAAATTCCGTTTTGATGAGGGTGTTGGGTGGAACTGCACTGCACTGCAATGTCTCTCGCTGCATGTAATGCATAACTGCACGATTCCACGTGCATTCTCCTGGTTCTCTTCGATTATTTGATAGGGATGAATTTCCATGATTTATACTGCATAAAAATGGAAAGAATTACTATTTGTCGATTATAACTCCACTGAATTCAAAAGTGTGAAGGGGCGCAGAAAACAATCCATTTTTGGTGTCCACTCAGTCGAACATAGACAGCAGTCAAATAGCCCTGTCATGTCCCTTATGTTCTCCATAATAATGTTTGACCTATCAGCGTTTCATTTTACTCGGAGTGAAGACAGTTTTGTCGGTACTTAATGCATAGAAGCGGTTCCCGAAATATAGGACACATTGTCCACTTACGAATTGTGATCTTCTGGTGCACATCTTAAGGCAACTGCCGGGCGCACAAAACAGGATCCCCTCGGGCTTTGCTAAGTCCTTGCAAGTGTTTGCCGGCTGCGGTTCTACATGTCCAACAGCGGTTGTTGGACGTACGATCGTCCCAAACGACAGTATGTTCAGTAGACTGAGCACTGTTTTTGTCGAGGTTCTTTCCCTGTCGCACAACGTTTAGGCGCTTGATTTACAAACGATTGTATCTTCTCACCACTTTTAGTGTCTTATGCAAGTTGTTTTGTTAGTTCCCATTCTTCTTTTGCACGGTGTCCGACACTATTCGAACCTAACTGTTTATCTTCTCTCCCTCCTCAATCTTCTGTGTGCAGTTATTTTCGGTTCCTGGTCAGATGCGGCTTGGATCCCTGGAGCTCCACAGTGGGACGATTCGGCACTTGGAATTTTGTCCCAAAACGAGTGCTTCTGAGGTCGCTCATCTACTCAGCGCAAGCGACGACGGGTGCATTGCAATTTGGCGCCAGAAGGACTTGGAGAGTGAAGAAAAGTTTAACCCTGCATCTTGGGAGTGCATTCGACTTTTGCGTCGGCATAAAGGTCCAGTTCGAAGTTTGGCTATTCATCCTTCTCTGCGCTGCGCGTACTCGATCAGTGAGGATAAGACCTTTCGGATCTGGAACCTGTTACGTGGGCGGCAAGCCTACGCAACTCGTCTTAAACTCCTTGCCCCTGGGGCCGAAGGCGTCGTTGCCTCACCCAGCGGTCGCCGTCTGCTATTCTTATGGCCGAATCGATTTCAACTGATTGACCTGTTTGCGCCCACTTCTTCGGACAGTGATGGTCCCCTTGGTTGCCTTGTTGCTGATGTGTTGTTTCCGCAGCCCTCTACCGCATCTCCAGTGTTTTTTAACGAGGATGATCACACAGATGATCATGATTCAAAGGAAATGGATCACTCGGAAAAATTTGCGCACGTTCTTACAGGTTTTGGGCCTTACCTGACAGCGTTCCGGTGTCCTCTATCAGTCGGAAGTGACAAGAAATCAACTCAAAAGGCAGAGAATTTCGGGGAGATTAAACTCCCAGGAAAGCGAATCAAAGCCATCCAGGTAACTTCTTGGCCGAAATCTCTTCACCGAGTGGATGACGGAATGTCGGACTTCAGATCTCGTCTTGTCGTTGTCGTCACCACAGAGTCCAGTGGCAGTCACATTCGCGGATATTTGATAAATTTATCCGCTCCACTTGCTTCTGGGGTTGGTTTTCTACCAGTTTTCTTACACGACGTTTCCGCTGCTCGTGTTACCACCCTTTCTGCTCGATGGACGGAGAGAGAGGAACAGATCGCGATAGACGACACTAAGACCTGAAAAAACGTGTCTTATTTTCTTAAAACTGAGTTTGTAAATACACATAAGGGCGCTACTAACTGATTTTATTCGGTAACTGTAACGGATAGATTTCCATGGGACGCCGTGAAAAAAATGCTGAAGAGCGCCGCATTGCTCGGTATATCGATCTCGTCTCAAGCGGGGCTGGCTGTTAGGATTTAGCCTAATGAAGATGCGTTTACTTTACGCTTTTAGACATGTTTGACGTTTGTGTCATCGTACCGTCGTGTGATATTTGTACAACTGGGTTCTGTAAGCCACAATGTTAACGCAAAAGTTAACATAGTGTAGCTTGCCTAGGGGGCAGTGTAAGCTTTAGTCTCGGCCTCCAAAAGGCGTCACGTACGTTTGTTGTAGGCGTCTAGTGTGTCATGTCCAAAACATTGATTGTGTGTTATCTGTCCAAGTGACTCAACACTGACTCACTACCGACCAGGCAATTCATTTCCTAATCATCGAAAAGGTGTGAAAGATCGTTTTGCCGAGTTTGTCCTGCAACCCAAGAGAGCCAAGTGGTGCTTCTTGGCTTTACAAAATGGACCACAAGACGAATTTAACGACTGAAATAGCATTCCATCGGCAGAGCCACACAGCGCGTCGTGAACAGTCAACCAAAAGCTCGATTTGAGCTCCATTTAGTGTCGTCTCCACGTCTTTGAGGCTTTGAAGCTTTGCGTAATTTTGGTCCGAGTAACGGGATTTTCATGATTCAATACTACTCATGAGGCTGATAAAAAAATAGCTCGATAGTCCACCACCAGTTCCATCTTTATGTAACTCTGACTTTCATCAACCTTATATAATTTTACACCAGGGTGAATTTGTGTACAGTTTAGATGTCTTAACAAGACGTGAGGCTTATTTGGATCTCATATGTAACGCTCCGAAAGGCTCTCTCGTGTTTTAGTTTAGTCGATGTTGCAAATACCAGAGTACTTCCTATTGGCACGATATACCCTATTGGGGTTGTGGTAATTCTAAGAGCTCATCTGGCACGCGTAGTTCTCGAATTTCCATCAGTCTCATTTCCTATCTAGAAAAGACTACAAACGTACGATGCACCCATTTGTCTCACCGTCGCCTCATGTCAATTCTCACATAAAGGTCTGTCTGCCGGTCTACATTTGCCCTCCTATCCTTATGCAGCAGGGTGTTCGCTCGCCTTTCAGCGTGTGCCTTGCACCCACAAGGTGCGGTGTAATCCTTCAAAAGGAGAGTCTTTGCAGTTCAAACTGGGGCACTCAAGTTTTGGGGAGTTGGAAATACCCCAGTAGTTTTGTCGGTTGTTATTGATGTCAGTGTGATGAGGCGGTTGTGCGAATCTCAAAGTTCCGATTGGCGTTCTTGAATTTATGTCGCATGTGGCGTCAAAATACCTACAACTAAATCTCGAGATTCGCGTTTAGCAGTCTACACTACGACTGCGTTGTTGTATGTCCGCTAAACATGGTTACCGTTGGCAAATGATTTGAAGGGTCCGCAGTTTTCGCAGCGCCCATACATCTGAAGCGTTACTCTTATTGGATGGCGCTGGAGGATTTGCTAAGAGTTAATTGGGAACCTGCAGTTTGATTGTGCAGTGGCTAGTTTGGTCAAAGAGAACATCTGGCACCATTATGTGCGATGACTGGGCTATGTTCCACGCATGGCTAAACCTGTGAGCTGGACATGTGACTTTGCAAAACGATGTGATTTATTACGAGGAGTTTCGTCGTTTTCGATGGACACCTTTTCTTTTGCAAAAGACACTGAAATATCGATAGCCGATGTTGGTGGGAGCGTTCAGCTGTAGCACCCTTCCGGTTCCTAGCTGCCATGCCATCCTAAGGAAGCACGAGGGCTGGCATACTGCCAGGTTACCCAAGCCTAGACAGGGGAAGTCGAGTGGCTGAGGTCGGATTCGAACCACGGACCTTCCGGTTAGTAAATTCGCGCCGATGTTGGTGACAATTGAGTGATCGTCTGCTCCGTTACAGATTTTATACACCGATGTGCATTTGTTTACTCGTGCACTGTGATAAGTTCCTCACAGCGAGGAAAGTTCTTTCATATCGGGATCCTCTTAGGTTCTTGTAGTTCGACGAGTGGTTTGCAGTCAAGAGTGCTGGAACATATAGTAACGGGGGGAAGTTCAAGACCTGGGATCACTGTTCCGGACTGGTAGTAATGGATGTGGATTAGAACCTAGCAAATCGATTTGTCAACACACTCGGTGCAGGACTAGCATACATCCAAATTCTCTCTCAACACTAAACTTTTTGTTAAACTGCTGGCAACCGCCAGGGTGCCGGTGGAACAGGACAGTCTTTCGCTGCGATGTAATTAGGAAACACAAACCAAGCAGTTATAAGGTACTAGACATGAAAGTAAACATTTCATATGCATAGAATTTTTGAAAATAGGACGTTCCTAATCGTCTCCTTGAGTTTTCCTTGACTTTCCTCAGATATTAAACAATTATAAATGAATGCTTCATAACTCCAATGGTAGCCTCCGCGTTCCGTCAGATACGGGGGCGGAGCCTGGACAGCGGACAACAGACTGCACGCTTCATCGATAGTATACATCGTTGCACCGGTACACCGTCTTCCAGCTGCGAATGCGTCATTCTACCACCCCATTAATGGACTTATGGCACCCAAAAATAGATGAACCTCCCACTAGTAGGTCCGCTGAGGTTTGATCAGCTTTCAGTAACTGGAGAACATTCGTTCTACTGTATTATCTAACAGGATTTGGGCAGACGGCGTTTCGAACGAACGCTTTTTCAACGACCTTGTAACGTGATTTGCATCCCCTGGCGAACTACTGACGACCCAAAAAGGAAAGAACCAAGAATTCAGCCGCTTGTTTCGGCTGTTTCGAGCTGCTGTTAAATGGGGGACTCACAGCTCCTACACCCGTATCCATCACGAGGCTTCTTTTCCTAATCCTACGACCAGATTTATATTGCTGAACCCTCCAGGGTTCCTAGGGCCAAGCACAGTAGCTGAGCGTGATGGGAGAACAGGGAAGGAGGTCAGTGAGATTGCTGATCGGATTGCTGGCCACATTAAATAAATCCGGACGGCTCAAGCATGTAGGTTACCGATATCAGGATAGGTATATTGGGTTGACACCAACCCAAACAGCTTTGGGGTACTTCACGGCACCTGGAAAGGTTATTGATATTTTCTTGTGGGAGCATATTACCTACTATTAGCCCACTGACAAGTGTTCAAAACTAGTGGCCGGGATTTTGTGGGTTCTAGGCTCCCTCAAGTCTTGTGAGATGCGCACTACTGACAAGTGCTCATAAGGGTGAATAATCTGCACATTGCTTCTCGTTTTTCTAGCAAGTAACCACACAAGACAGCAACGAATACACAGTCGATGGAGACTCAAGAACTACATCCACTTGATGAGCCGTAACAAGGGCGGAATAGCAAGCACTAAGGCACGTTTCCATGACTGCATCGATGTGTATGTGGGCGGTGCGTTTTACGGGAAGGTCCTCGTGGCACTAGTGCTGGTAGGCTTAGGCGTCAAGGAAGCCTAATGAATGGAGAAGTCAGAGCGCAGACTGAGTGGAGCTATTGATGGCGTGTTCAAAATAAATAAATAAATACAAGAATTACGGCCGCTCACTGAGAGAAAACCTAAATTAATTTCGCCGAAACTATGGGGTTTTCAAAGTTGGTTATTTTATGGGGAGTTAGTTCAATCCGTTTTCACGTTTCAGCGATATGTTGCTCATAGGATTTTGTTTAAGTGAGCGAAATTCAGAGTCGCTGACCTCCACTTCGCATTTTATTACCAGTTTACGAGCTAAGTCCCCTAATGAAACTTCAGCATATTTTAACGTTCTGCAGTGTTCTCTACCAGCGAGATAATATCTGGTAATATTCTATGCGAATACCATTAGGTGAATAGATGAAGAACGCTTGTGTGCTCTGTGCTACTCAGACGTTATGAATGGGCTGTGTTTGTTTAGCGATATTCGACAGAACGAAGTTTTTTAAGTTCGCCTCCCATCCATTGTAATAACGGAAGACAATCTGATGCATTGTGCAGTAGTTGTGAGTGTCATCTCCGTGGGAGATCCCCATTCCCAGATATGCACAACCGTCAGTGGACAATACAGTGTTGTTAGATATCTGCATGTGAATCAGCAACACAGTATGAATCCCATTGCAGATAATCACACTTCTTAGCTAGAACACATTGAAGACAAATTGGGATAACGAGGAACAAGGCCACGCATGGTCGATCATCATTGTCGGCCCCTACCTATGTACGTAGCTAACCATAAGGCCCCAACTTTACATAACAGCCTAATCCAAGTGCCAAAGACGGTCTTTCATACTCACACTTTATTGAACGCAGTAAAGTTAGAGCCAAATGGGGGTGTATGCAAGTCATTTGCAGGATCAAGCGATGTAGACATGAGCTGTGGGGTTTAAAGAACTCATGCGTCCCCAAACGTGCACACGTGGATACAGCCCTAAAAGTGAGGGGCTGGGTATTAGCGTTAAATCTGCTCATTTGTAGCACCAAATCTCAATTTCACTCCACCTCCGCCTCTCGATACCGATGCCATTTACCGTAATTGAATCAGCAGCTCCGTCCTCTTCCTCATAGCTTGTAACCATTCCATAATCGGCGCAGTAGTGGTCTCACCAACTAACAGCTCCAATCTGGATAACGATTAGCTAAATTGCTCGCGTTTGTAAACCGACACTTTTGTAATCTTCAGCATCCGCTCATATATAAAAAGCTCCTAAATCTTATACACATATAACATGTTAGGACTGGTTTGCTATTTGAGGCTATTCTGAGGTTCTGTTTCTTACAGGTCATATAGTTTCGGGTCCCATTGAACTCATTATTCATGCCGATGTACTGCTTGAATTGTAGTGATCACTCCCAGCCGGTAGTTGGCACACCGTGGGTTGCATAATGATGGCGCATCCAGAATAGAGGCATGACCGAAGGAGATTTGTGATTAATCAGAATCGCGTGGAAACGGGGCACTCACAAATAGTGGGTATC